ATTTTACTCAATGTGTTGACTCTACATACTATTGAGAAAAGGCTTATCCTTCTATGGCGCCAGGCAGATCTGGAACTAATCTGTAAAAATCTTACTCATCATTTAATATACCTCATACTGGGTTCAACCGAAATTGGTAACAAATGCATTTAGTTTAAATATGTTCTCATCACTAAAAAAAATAATCCTATTAATATATCACTGGTCAGTACTGTATTACAGAGGTACCAGTCTAACCACTTATTGAACACAATTCTTTTGATATCTGAAATTATTTGGTAAACTTTCCTTACAAATAAGCTATCAGTTGTGTAAGTAATTTCCTTTAGTGTCTATTGTAGCAAATTTCTCTAGCTAACACCCAATTAGTCTACCATTGATTTATCTTCATCTATAAGATAATCATAAAAGAGCTAGAAATTGTAATGAGTTTTCTACATCCTGATCTACAGTTTGTATATTGCTTCATGATCTTTAACCCATTCACCCCTAAAGTCACATTTGAGCTTTACCAAATCAATGACTGGGCAAGTCCAGTTCAGATAAATGTATCAATCTTTTATCATGAACTTTACCTCGGCAGATGAATTTAATCATGGTACCTGGCATTCTGACAATTACAAGCTGAAACTAATTTTATGATTTTTAGAAAAATAAATTTGCAGTGATAGAGACACTGTCTATTTGTTTGATATATCTGGATACAGACATATTGTTTATCATAGGTGCCATTATCAATTCTGTTTTATAATTGCTGTGCTCTGTGTTCTCAGAACTCCGGACCACAAATGTGGCTCTGAATCAATGTTATTTCCTCGCCTGTACCTTGTAGATTGTTCCAGTCTGCTGGCTGTATAAGGAGGAATCTGCATTTCCCAACACGCTGTGGACTGAAATTCTACGTTTCTCAATCAAACCTCATGGTTAATGTTGCTTGCAAGTCTTCCCAGAATGAATCTGTTGGCTAGCTTCAGTAACTTTCAGAATTGTTTTCACCATCGTGACTCAACAAAGCCATTACACATGAGAATTCTGCTTTGCTAGAAAATTTTACTCCATTATCTTGTGAAATATGTTCATTAAAGTACTTTTCAGGCATATTTTGATTTTACCATGCTGTTTCCATATATAGAAATGGAAGTTAACATTTATAGGTCTTCACAAAATGGTTTAAAGCCTCTATCATTATCTCAGAAATATTGTGTTGTGTAAGCATTAATTTTGCACACTCGGACAACTCCATGCTAGTACTAATTTCTTATACTGAGATGTCTCAACAGATTTTCTATTCCAATGACTTCTTTTTAGTACAATTTTTCTTCACTGAGACAATCCCCTGTAAGTACAATTTTTCTTCACTGAGACAATCCCCTGTAAGTACAATTTTTCTTCACACAAACAACCCCCTGTTAGTACAATTTTTCTTCACACAGACAACCCCCTATTAGTACAATTTTTCCACATTGAAAAAAAACTTTTTTAGTACAAATTCTCTACTTTGAGACAATCCTTTGTTACTACAAATTTTCTACATTGAGACAAATATCCTGTACAATTAGTACAAATTTTCTTCATTGAGACAACCCCCTATTAGTACAAATTTTCTTTATTGAGACAACCCCTATTAGTACATATTTTCTACATTGAGACAATCCCTATTAGTACATATTTTCTACATTGAGACAACTCCCTATTAGTACAAATTTTCTATATTGAGATAACCCCCTATTAGTACAAATTTTCTATATTGAGACAACCCCCTGTTAGTATAATTTTTCTATATTGAGACAACCCCTTGTAAGCTCAAATGTTCTACATTAACGAATCGAGACAACCCCTCAATTAGTACAATTGTCTTTTACTGAGACAACTTTGATGTCATATACAATTTTCATCCCCCATAAAATACTCATACTGATGAATATTTTCTGCATGAATTAACCCCCCACCCCTTCCCCTAAACAGTATGTTATATTTGTCCTTTAACAGCAGAGTTGCCAGCACCTTGAGTATATAAAACACATCAATCAAGGTATAGATATAATAGTTATAGAAAGTCTGGTTGTGTTTATTGAGTACCTTGGTTTTATCTAGGCCAATGACATACAGAATCGTCTTCAAACCCTAGCAATATGACAACCAGTACTTCTCAATGGTTAATATACCAGTTTGATAGGTAAGATTGGTTATTGATAGCTATATTGTGATATCTCTAGCCTATCAGATATTTTACAAAGTTAAAACGGCATTTCCTTACAAATGGTTAACGTAATTATGGCCATTTAAAGTCTCCAGACCCTAACAAACAAACATCAAATCTGTTACCGTAAACTCACAAAAGGTGTCAACTGTTTATACAAACTTAAGCCTTCATTCAAAGTAGACAATTAAACCTCACTGTTTAAAATTATAATAGACATTTAATAGAAAAGCTAACTGTTCATAAACCTTTGCCATTTTGTTTACATACATTACAGCTAACATTGAAGCAGAACAAAATCACAATGATAATATGTATGCACGCGGTCTGAAAATTTGTCGTTAAGATGAAACTCGGTCACACCAAATCACCCTGGGTCTCCTTTCTCCAAAGTCCCCAATTCACATGAATAAACCTCCCTGAACAGTTTGAAAAGGAACAAAATCCCCTTACCAGACATACAGGTGGTATTTAAATATTGTAGGTATAAAATCTAGCCTGCAATGTGCATGTTATTATGTAACAAACACTCGCAATCGATCCAAAAGTAATTCGTGACAAAACAAAACACATAAAGATATCTCAATCCCTCCAGTGTCCTTATCAGTTTTACAGTTGAACAGTTTTACAATAAAATTATTTCATCGATCACTTTTATAAAATCTATTGTAACCAATTTGTTATTTTGAAGAAGGTGAATATCGTTTTCACTAAATGCTGTTTAAAGTCTTTTTATATATCAATTGCTTGCTTTTGAAGGATACTGAATGAACGTTCAGAATGTCATACTGTCATCTCGGTTTTGGTTTGTTTGGGGTTAGCTAGGAATCCTAACAACAGGAAAGATCTCACAAAGTCAGCAATTTTGGGATTTAAAATAGGTTTGGAATAGTGTATAATCAACCCAACTGGTTCAGCATATGCAGTACTCATTCACCCCTGAAATTTCATAATGAACTACTCCAGCCTTTGAATTGGAAGAGTTCAAATGTGTCTTCAGGGGTAAATGAGTTAAAGAGAAAAAGTTTAGTTAAAATTAAGCTGAAGATTTATACATATTTTTCTGAATATTTTAGATCTAATTCTTTCACCCCTATGTAACTTTAGTAGTCTCTACCATGCATTGATTCGGATGAGTTCATTATGGTCTACAGTGGTGAAAGGGTTAAGAGTAGTTTCCTTCTTTTGACATTAGTATCACTGATCTGCACTGAATGGACGAAATGGCCATATGGTGCATTTAAACCAACACATTTACTTTATTTGGCTTTAGACATAAATTAGTCAATTTAAGAACAGGTGCTTCCTTACTTTCTAGTTCTAGTCACTAGCTAATATTGTGGATGAAAAAGATAGCAGTTATGATGATCGCTAGATTGAACAATTCCATCAGTTTACTGTTGACTGAAAACAATCATTGATGGCTGAGCAACATAGCAACAGACTTTGGACAAATATGACGGATGGAAAATACACAAACAGAACTTGGATCAAAATAACTGTGATCATAAGTGTTTATGGTCAAACAATGCACCACCGTAATACATCTTTATCACAATTCACAGGTTGATGACGGCCAAGTGGACCAAATATATCTATAGAATTTTGTTATAGCAACACAATATACCAATAGAGGATGATTGAAATTGACGGCTTAATTGATAACTGAAAAATGTTTAGTTTACATTTTGGTTGGAAAATTTGACATATTGGTATTAAAACTTGGTTCAGAACAGTTTACCAAATTACACTTTGCTTGACAAGAAGAGACAGTACCTAGCATACAATCCTGTGGAATATGTAACAAGATCCGAAGGTGACACTTAAATTACCAAAACAAAACAGTTGGTAGAAGATAGAAGAAAACAAAGAGGCCCAAACTGTTGCATATATGCAGCAGAACATTTTCCCCACCGCCCCTCTAAGCAGAAGACAGAAACCCCAAATTCTGCTGGGGGCCTTATATAAGTTTACTTATACAACCATGCAGTGGTATAAAGCAGGCCAAATCATGTACTTTGTACCAGAACCCATACAGGTTTCGGGAGGAGTACTTCAGCAATGACAATAAATCTCTATTTATATCAATAGGGACTGTGACTTTAAAGCATGCACATCAAAACAAAAGCTCAATCCAAATACTAGACACTTCTCAATTGCTTGGTGAAGACTACAATCATAAATGAGCTTTAAAAAGCTACGATAAAACAAATCCTTTTAAAGTAACAGTGACCTTGGAAAGTGCTCAAAACCCAAACTTGTTGAAAATATTCCAAGTAACTGCATGACACTTTCACCGGGTCTGGTGAAAGACATCAATGAGATTTTTAGATATTAATATACTAAAACAACAACTCTGAATTTCCAAATAGTTTAAAGACAATTTTGAAGTTCAATTAGACTTTGAAACAAAAAGAGCTTAGGAAATTAATCATCCCAAAAATGCATCGATCATAAGTACTGATACATGTGACACTGGAGTAATATGTCCCACGGTGGTGAGGCCAGAAATTAGATCAATACAACACACATACCTCAACACAACTCCGAGCTTATAACAAGTGATATGTGCCATCATGTGGGTCAATATCTAATCAAATATTTACCTTGCAAAAACACTAACTCATATTCCCCTATTTGAAAAAAGCTAAAACATACCACATCAGTAATGAAATTCTAAAACCTGCTCTTTGAATTCAATCAGATTATATATATTACCCATATATTTTCAACAATTATAACATTTCAATCTTTCTATCAGCTCAAAAAATATTTTTTAAAGATATACTCAAATACATACCTGGCAATATTTTCAAATTCATATGAAATTATCTGATACCTTCAATCTCAGTAGAATTTTAAAAAATCCATGATTCATGTCACCATGTTGTGAATCAAATCTCTGAATCCATATACTTTGATATTGGTGAGTTAATTCCCTGTGAAGCTGTGTTTTTTCCTCGGATTATCTAAAACCTTAACATATCACATCTCTGTAGACACGGAGCTATTAAAATACACAGCTTATAATTCAAATATAGGTCGTTTTCTCCTTATCATTCACAAATAGGTTATGTTGATACCTCAGGTTACCAGTTGCTGTTAATTTGTATCTCCTGTCATCCCGTATAGGTAACCCTGAGCAGGTTTTTTCTGTATATTATATTTCACACTGATCCTTTGTCAAACGAACGTTTTGCTTCGAAAAAGATCCGACCGAATTATGACGTAATCCACCACATAAATATTTAATCTCGACAGAAGAAGAACTGCATGTCCTTCACCACACAATATTGCGTCGGCGTTATTCCGCAGTGTGCCAAATGCATTACTGAGAGAGTTTCAACTAACTGCACAGAGTAAAACAAATAACATGGTATTGAAAGAAGAACTATCTCAATGGTCTCCACACATTAACTAGATCCTCTTATATCAGCCCTTGAGCGACTACAAGGATTACTCGAAATTCATCGCAGACGATCACTGGCTTTCAAGTGTACAATTACGATTGATTACATACATAAAATACATGGTCCAAATTTATGTGTATATATATTACGGTAGCTATAGGCTTTTCTTCATGTCATACCCTCTGCTCAACGTTCGTAATCAGCTACCCATTGAAGCAAAGCTATAGTCTATTGTAGGTTGTGTATTGAACGGTCATTCGTCCAGATTAAAAAACAATTTTCCAGCAGGCGTCAAATCAACTTAATTGTTATTATATGTATTGGGGGCTCACACACAAGCAAATATATAATGTGTTTAGCTTAAAGCACACCATTTTGAAAAACTTTAAAAAGAAAATATCAACAATACATTTTGTCGACAAAGCGCTTTGGCCCTTTAATGTAAACAATACACAGTATTTACTTAGGTACCCACAGCGGGACTGAGTAGAAACAATTGCATAGTTGTAGTCACGGTTGTAGTTTAAGGGTCATAGTATACCTATAGTTACTTTGGTCAAGACACCGTTTACTGGGTACAATTAAAACAACATAGATCGTTCATGTTTTATGTAATTTAATTATGGCAGGTGTTTTTTTGGCCATGTAACATGTGCAGAAATCAAACGTGGTTACAATAACGTCTATGTAAGTTAACCCATTTTGTGATTAGCATCCCAATAACAAAGAATGCTACAGATCTATTTGGCGAATTAAATATCATAATGTTCATGACAGGAAAAAAACATAAGGGAGATAACTCAACTCAATTCAGTTTTAATGTGTAAGGTAGCATACAACCTTAATAAACTTGATCAGCAGTTCTAAAGAAAAATGCCTAAACATTCAGGGGTGTTCAAGGTTTTGGTTAATATATACACACAATTATAGCTCTATATGGCTTTACCCTAATGGTTTACAAAAGAATCCTTCAACAAATAGTCTTAAATTCTCCACAGCCTGAATTTTACAAAACCAAAGTACAAGGTTAGGGACTCAATTCAGGGTTTTAATTGGCTGATATTACAAAAATACACGTAAAGAAAATATGGTCTATTGATAATTGTGTTCCATAACTTTCCAATTACATATAACTTAACCATCTGCTTACAATAGATTTTAAACAGGTTTGTAAATGACTTCTAGAGTTTCAATACTTAAATTTTGAAATTGATAAAAATATTGAAATCTAGATGCCCTTATTTCAGGAAATTGATTTAAAAAGAATTTTGATTTAATTACTACATATTATTTGATATTTCCTGAGTATATTTTGAAATGACACCTTGGGGCAAATCTACAACATATATAATAATTCTGTCATAAATGTTCTGCTCTAGTGAGGGTTAATAACATTTTAATACTTTAATGTAAATAAAAAAAAATGACAAAATATCAATTTCCACTTCAGTAAAACCTTTTTATACTGAAACTATTTGCCGAGAGAAATTTTGGCATTATAAAGGGGTTTGACAATAAATTAAGAAAAATATAAAAAGAATTCTGAAAAAAAGGGATATTGAAACACATATGTTGGCAGTAAAATGGAAGAGGGGCAATTTATCAAGGTTTTTAATATGCCTCCTTAAAAAGTTATCTTTATTGAAACTCAATTCAAAAATAACATTTCAAGTAATAATTTTTGTTCCCAAACAAAGTCAAAATACCTTGTTTCACAGTTACTTAGGCAACATTTAGCCTATATCCTGTAATTAGCCCAACCCGTGTCAACTCATTCACCCCTGAAATTTCATAATGAACTATTCCAACCTTTGAATTAGAAGAGTTAAAATGTGTCACCAGGGGTGAATTAGTCTAACATCTTTTACAGTTTAGAGTTGATTAGATTAATTAGACTACATTTCATAGATTACTAATAACATACACTTTGTAGCATAATTGGTCAAAGTAGTACATTTTCTTATTGATATTATTCAGAAAGATTCTTCTACTCATAGACTTGTTATTTTCGGATATTTGATTGTTACCAAGGTGTACGACAGACAGACTTGTGAAAGGGAGATTTTTTTTCTAATAGTAATTGGGGCATTACAGGATGTCTTAGATAATAGATCAGGAAATATTTGGTCCCCATGACCCCCGGGGTCGTAAAAATAATCTGAAAGTGTTGAGCACTTCTCCATACATAAATCTACTATGTCTCACCAAGTTTCAAGTTCCTAATTACTTCGGAGATGTCGTTTAAAGGCATACCGTCAAATTTACCCCTTTTGACCCTGCTCATCTGTCCCCTGGGGGTCAGGGACTTTATTTGTACAATCTTGAATCCCCTTCCCCTAGGGATGATCCCTGTTAAATTTGGTTAAAATCTGCCAAATAGTCTAGAAAATCTAGGCGATATCATTTAAAGGCATACTGTCAAATTTACCCCTTTTGGCCCCACCCACCTGTCCCCTGGGGGATCAGGGAATTCATTTGTACAATCTGGAATCCCCTTCCCCTAAGGATGCTTCCCGCCAAATTTGGTTGAAATATGCCCAGTAGCTTCAAAAGAACTAGAACTTGCCCTAAAATTTTAACCTGTAGAACTTGCCCTAAAACTTGAACCAATTGCAAAAAACTTGTGCTTTGGACCAATAATGAGCAAATATGATTCAATTTGCTGCTTAGGAACCTCCAAGCGATTGCTATAACCATATTACAATGTAAAATGAATTGAAAGTCAAGTTAAACACCAAAACACAGCTTGCCCAAAAACTTTAACCAAGTGGGACGCCGTCGCCGACGGTACTGCTACTGCCCCCCTATTCTTCGAATAGACGAGCTTAAAAAAAATGCTAAACATATTGAAACTCTTTTTTGTTGGAGATACAAAATAGATTGCTGGAACACTACACTTTAAGTTGTTGAAGATACCGAGACCAGAATAATAATCACATAACTTCATAATAACAGTAAAGTCAATCTTATAATTGAAACAAGCAAAACATTATTGCTTTTCTGCTTTTTCTATATGTAGACATACTCCATTCTGAAGACATTAAATATCAGCCAGGGCAGATATCGTCTTTCCAATTTGATCATGAATCACACCGTACAAGTGGTTTCAATTACATCTCCCCATTCATAGCTTGAAAATATTTTTTGGTGCAAGATAAAAATTAAATATACAAGTTTCAATAATACCTCAGTTATTTTATACACTTGTATAAATAAGAGGTGTCCAGGTATCATTTTCCACAAAATTAGCTGACTCACTGTATTTTTCTATGGTACATTATTTTGTATTTTTTAAGAATGAATTTCCCAGCAGTGGATATGTAACCTACTTCAACTTATAAGTCTGAACACAGCAGCCTCCTACATGTTCACAAAAGCAGTAAGAATTGAGCAAGGATCTCCTACAGTAAATACCATATAACGGGTTATTTATGCAGACTTACATTTTTTTACAATTTTGACCCAAATTAGAAAATTAGGTTTACATGGATTATAATTTTGCCATCTAGACATGAGAAGGAACTACATTTCTTGCAGTGTTATAGCACAGAGATGGGTCACTCTGCATGTAAACATTGTGTCAAAGAGTCAAGTGAATACGCGTCATTACAGTATGTTGAGCAACAAGAAGTAAGTGGTTATTTTAAAGAAATTATCAAAATACTGTTATCTTTGTGAAACAATCTATTTTCAAACATCTTGTATCACTTGTGATAAAATTAATCATTACAACAACATACTCGCTATTTCACGACAAAATTATGGTTATGAAGTATATGTTTTTACGCCGGTCATATAATTCTGCAATCATATTTTCCTATCACGTTATTCGTATTGACTTGTGAAAGTCGCAAAAATATTAACCCCCATAAAAATATCCTGCTATAAGAGATACCGATGATTCCTTAAAAAATATCTGGCCTCGTTTTCTGTACATGATTTTGTTCTAGCGTAAAATTGAGCTTGAAATATGGGCAAATATTATACAAGGCAAACTAGCTTTATCAAAATCTTACAATTCCTTCAAAGCTACGATCCAGAAATGATCAGCCAATCAAACTGCAGCAGCCTCAGTTAATATGCACTTAATTTGGCTGAGCATGAGATTGGGACTTGGTTTGTCAGTAAATCAGGCCACATAGCTGTCAAACCTCCCTCACTAGGTGGGAGACTCCCTCATTTTGACAAAAATTTACCAATCTCCCTCGAAACTTCCTCAAATTTATTCACAATCTGATAATTCCTTAAAAAAAATATTTCCTGGATGCATTTTTTGTGATGACATATACTAAGAAGGTGATAAAAAAACCAGGTGAAATTTAGTTAAGTATATATGGTTTAGTTCAGACACTGGTTGAAAGGTCAGACGCATAAGATGTCTTTTGACTTTGGAAGTCAGATCTGTCCCGCTATGTGGACAAGGGTATCCTACAACCTTTATATATACATGTATATATGTCAGGTAAGACAAAGGTATTACACAGGTAATTAAATATCTTAGTACAAATAGGAAACAAACAACTGATATACCTTGCGGTACACATACAATCTGAAGATGTCGATGATTTGCTGGATTCCATTGTCAGTGTTCTGAGTCTAATTATGGGAACTTTACAACGCCGATACTATTTAAGGAATTATTAACAATGCATTTAATTATATACAACTATTATTTTAATCATTCTTACATTCAATAAGGCCTTTTGTTAAAAGACATTGCACATGCCAGATATATTTTAGATTTATTTATTTTTGGCAGACGAAATACAAGAGCCATATATAGTTTTGTATGTCTAGAGTTCAACTATTGTTCAATAAAAAAGGTACATTTGTTTTGTTCTATTTTGGTTTGCTAATCTTTTTAAGAGAGGCAAGTTTACTGGCAAGGCTAGCTATACCTAGCTGTGACACCTATTGTGTATCACCCACCTTTATGATCCTTCAGGAGTAAACAACATTGGTATAAAAAGAGGTGTGTAAATCAGGTATAATACAGGTGGAACTCAAATCTAAACTGAAG